GGTGAAAAGCACTAGTTGATCTTGCGGAAGACCTACATTCAAATCTCAGCATGCACATGGTAGCTAACAACTGCCCATAATTCCAGTTCCAGGGGATCCAACGCCTCCTTTTGTCCTCCTCGGACATTGCATGACACAGGTGTACTTACTTACATATAGGCATAACACACATACACATAAAAATTGATTAAAAAATATTTTGGGGGGCTGGAGAGATGGCTTAGCAGTTAAGAACACTGACTATTCTTGCACAAGACTCGGGTTCGAATCCCAGTACCCACACGGCAACTAACAACTGTCTGTAACTCCAGTTCCAGGGGATCCAACAGCCTCTTCTGTCCTCCATGGGCATTGCACGACACAGGTGCACTTACCTAGATGCAGGCATAACACTCATACACATAAAATTAAAATAATAAATATATTTTTTTTAAGTTACTAAAAAATATACTTTAAAAAAAAATGTTTTTGAAGCAGGGTCTCTCACTGAACCTGGAACTCTCTGATTTGACAAGACTAACTGGCCAGCAAGATCCAGGGATCCTTCTGTTGGCTTCCCAGCACTAGAATTACAGGTGCTTTCCACCACACCTGGCTTTTTACACCGGTGGTAGGGATCTGAACTCAGGTCTTCATGCTTGCACAACAAGCACTTTATAGACTGAACCGTCTTCCTACCCATAAAGCATCATTTTATTTTATTTTTTGGTCTTTTTGAGACAGGGTCTCCCTGTAGCCCCAGCTGTCCTGGAACTCACTATGTAGACCAGGCTGGCCTTGAACTCACAGAGATCCGCCTGCCTTTGCCTCCCAAGTGCTGGAATTAAAGGCATGCGCCACCATGCCCAGCTTATAAAGCACCATTTTTATGTTATTCCTCTACTCAATGTAGAGTGTCTCTATATTTCTATTTGCGATTCTAGCTCCCTTTAAATTTGGTGACTTTGGAGTCAGGATTCCCTACTGCAGTGGTTCTCAGACTTAACAGTATCAACACTGACTGAAAACCTATTTGAAATTCTTGGGCTCCATCCCAGACCCACTGGGGGAGGG